AGGGAAAGAATTTTCGGAATATCAGTTCTTTCATACTCCGAATTAAGATTGTTGAGCACCTTACTCCATTCAGAGTAAACTCTCTCTTTAGTCGACAAAAGACCACCTATGGTCGAAATAACAAGCGGCAAGCCTAGGCATTTGCTAATAATCTCACGAGACAATTGCTCTAGCTCTTGAGGGCAACTCCCGACAGACTTGTCATTGCAGAATGCCTTCTTGCAAAATAACTGCCAAGCCATTTCTGGAGACCAAGTTTGTAGCTCTTGGACAAGATCAAAACAACTTTCGTTGCAAAGATTAGCAACGACGACATTTCGTGTTGTGATAATTATCCTACTGCCCTTATCATTATTTGGCAAAGCGTGTTTCATAACTTCCCAAAAGTCCTTTTTCCAAACATCATCAAAAACAATGGCGTACCTCTGTTTTTGTAGATGGTGCCTCAATAGACTTATTAACTCTTCCTCCGCACAATCTTCCTCTATTCTCTCCCCTGCTCCGCCTACTTGCCTTAGTGTGATCCTCAGAAGCTTCTTCATGTCGTATGACTGAGACACTGTGATCCAGGCACAACAATCAAAGTGAGCTTTCACCGCTGCATCGTTGTAGACTTTCCTAGCAAGAGTCGTCTTGCCAATTCCACCTTGACCTACCAACGAAGTCACTGATCGCATGGATGGTCCTTCAGTCCACCTTCTTATAAGTTCCTTGGATGCCCCATCAATACCAACAATTTCGTCTTCCTCCATGAAAAGCGATCCTAAGCGAGGGTCTCGTCGTTCAACATCAATTGATCTGCTACTCGATCCATGTTCCAGAGGTCTTAATCCATAGCCAACACCTCTGTCCTTGATTTCGCGCAATGACTCTTTAATATCTTTAATCTCTGAAGCTATGTCATAAACCGGTTTCAAAGCTTTAATGTAGTGACCGGCTTTACGCAAAGATCCGATAAATCCTCTTTGATGGCGATGTTGTTCAACATGATAAAGGTACTCATCAACCACATCTTCAATGCGATCCGCTTGCTTTCTTATTTGCTTCAGCCATACTTTCGCAGCATCGTTCACTTCTCCTTTCTCCGATTTAGCCTCCGCATCTCGAAGGAAAGGTTGGATGATCTCCAGTTCATCTTTCAAACTCTCAACTTCTCTGCCGACTCCTTTCAATGATTTTGCCTCTTCAGTCAGTAGCTGAAGCAGCTTCTCAATGATAGGGCTCAAGAACGTCTCTGCCATTTCTTTTTCAGTCTCTGATAAAATCAAAATAATGTTCTTAACCATAAATAACAAGGCAATAATAATGTCTTTTTCTTTAAATGGCATATAGTTTTCAATACTATTGATTCTATCTACCAAATAAGTAGTGATACCTGGAAGAGAGCTTTTTCCTTCTTTTCCTCTCCTCAATGCACAGTCAAACGAAGTTTCTTCAACAAGTGATTCTGACTAATACTTTTGCCATGATTTAGTTGATCAAATTTTTTTTTTTTTTTTTTTTTTCTTGTCTTGCTTGAACTCCTTTTTTTTTCCACTAAGAATTTAAGTAATTGATTTTTGCGCGTTCGTTGGTAAAATCACATTGCATTATCTAAAGTGAATTGTTGCATCTTCCCAGAAGCTGATTCTTTCGTCGTTTATGGCGACAAAAATCTATGGATTACAGCTGTAATCTAAAATTTTCTTAGCGGTCATGTATAAAAGCAGTCTAATAATGATATTTGCTCATTTAAATTGTTTTTTTTTTTTAGTTTTTTTGTTCCACAGACTGATTCCTTGTTTTTTTAAGGGGAATATCATTGGTTCTTCCGGCTACAAATATCCTATAATTTTCTTGTGTTTGTCTTGTTGTGGGAACAGTCAAGAGTAAAGGTTCTTGAATGAATATTTTATTTGGCAATAGGATTCCTCGACAGACCGTCAATGTATAGGATATGAATTGCCTCGAAATTCGGACATCTTGACAACTTGAACATGATAATATTGAATAATAAAGAGGGTTATAACATGGCAACGGCTGGTTTGCCGGCAGTTAAAAAATAAATTTGTGTGAACCGTTCGATTTAATCCAAGCGCTGGCGACGAAATTCAAATCAGCATTTGAAATTTTGAATTTGTTTGGTATGCATATTCAAATCGTAGGAAATGACTAGGACTTCAGAGGAAGGCAAATGGGGAGATGACACATAGGACCCGTTTAGTTTACTGATTTAAGTTTTTAATTTGAGTTGAGATATTATTTTATGTGTGAGATTTTTATTATAGTAAAAAAAATTAAATGTGATTATTTTTAAAAATTTTTTACAATAATAAAACTTAAATCGGTAAAATAAACAGAACATACAACAACTTGAGATGTAAAGAATCAAAGGCTTAAAACAGTGAATTCACTAATAGGATTAAATTTTCATTACTCCGTTAAAAAAGCCATTAGAGCTTGAGTTTTCAGTTGTTCTTTATATATAAATAATTAGACTTGATCGTTCTCTATAATGCGAGTCCAGGTTTATTGTTTCTATTTTTTTATCTGTCATAATATAATTGGAGAAACGGGACGAGATAGAAAAATAGAATAACATGTCTTAATTCTTGTAATGCACAAAACAGTTCGTATTTTTTTACCATTAATGAAAGCTCTCTTGAAGAACCCAACAGTTCAAGTGTGTTTGGGACCCAAACTTTCAGAGGGAAAAGAAAAAAAATGTGAAGAAAAATATTTTTCTGTGTTTGGAACCATATGATGAGGTGGAAAAAAAATATAAGGGAAATTAAGTGAGAAAATTTATAAAAGAAATCATCGATTTTATTTTCCTAACAAAAAGGTGAGGAAAATAGAATTTAATGGAGGAAAATTTATCGGGCCACTCCTCTTGATCTCTCCCACTTCTTTCGATCACTCTCTCTATCCATTGTTAGCTTTCTTTCTCTCTCTATTGCTAGCTCTCTTTCTCACTCCATCTCTTTCTCTTTTGGAATTTTAATTCTTCTTCAGTTTCAAGGTTTTTAGGGTTAGATTTGGGAAAATTATATTTATAGGTCAGGCAGAGATTTGAGGTAAAATTAAGAAACAGTGTAGCAAATTGAATGCACAATTTAGGGTTTTAGGTTCAATTGAATCAAACTCATATTAGCCCACAATTTAGAGCACAATTTGGGGTTTTGAGAATTTTAATTTGCCAATAATGTTCTGAGTCTTTGGAAGTTTTTGCATGCATCATGCTTTTTGCTGGTATACAATTGGGGTTTTTGGATTTCTTTATCAATTGGGGTTCTTGATAACGAAATACTTTATGGGGCGTTTGGTTCATAGATTATAACTATTTTTTATTTACGTGTATTTTTTATGAGAGAAAATACTATAACGAACCACGAACCATAATTCGAATCAGGGAACGAATCCTCCTACTAAATGACTAGTTTGTGAGTTTCGTTAATGACAAAATGTGATAGAATGAAAAGAAGACTACTTACATGTCAAATCAATTTTTGATGTTGGTTTTTAAATTGTTGATTCTATTCGACTGATATATGCTGTGTTTTCCTCATCTAATAAATTTTGTATATTTTGGTCTGCGGAAGAGAGAGTTGGAAAATGTAAGCTAGTCTACTGAGCACAAAGCATTGTTGGAGATTACAAGTCAATGTTTCTGTTTGATTTCATTTAGCAACTGGGTATGTCCTTTTCTTGCATCCACTCTTTGTATTTTTGTAGTGTATATACTCTTTGGATATTTATTGTTAGTCATTGTCAACATTGATAACGGCTCTCTTTGTTTGTTAATTTATTGGCTCTATGCGAGTGTATTCAGATTAGTGTTGAAACTTTAGACGGGTCGCCTGTGACTACTGAAAAGTCTGAATTTTTACTTGAGTACCAAACCTAAACTGCCCGAAAATTCAGGCTGCCCGACTTGACCCGAAAATCGCCATGGACAGGCTTCGGGCAGGAGGTGCCTGCCCATGCCCGGTCGGGCTGCCCGATGCCCAACCGGCTGCCCGAATTTTCAAAGTTTTTTTATTATATTTTTATATTGTGTTTGTATAATTATAATGTGTGTGTCTATATATATATATATATTATATTACAATTTGAAATTTGAACTGAACACACGAACTATATAAAAAAAAATTATTTCTTCATTGATTTTTAAATTTGTAATTCATGATTGTCTCGTTAAAAATTTTACCAAGAAAAACCCAATTGGGATAAAAATTTGATAAGGAAAAAAGAGTGCAATCATTGTGGGACGAATTACAAATTTGACGAACTTACAAAGTCTATACAAGATTACAATAACACTATACAAATTAAAAATTACAAAGTAAATAAATATTTACAAATTAGAATAATAAAATTTAATTTGCTGCAGAATGATCGTCTTGAAAATTAAAAGTTAATCTATTAAATTCGTCGATCCATTCTTGGTTTGCTGGTGAGATTGTATCATGTAAGCATTGGTCGGAACGGTCCCAATCCTTGATGCACACCAATGCTTCAACAATATCCTGCTGCAATGTGTTTCTCTGTTATTCAAGTATTCGGCCGGTTGTACTGAATGCTTGTTCGGCTGCAACAGTGGAGACCGGGATCGAAAAAATATCCATTGTCAGTCGTGTTAGGATCGGCCAAGTTAATGCTCGTGCCCTCCACCACTCAACCAAATCAAACATTTCACTACTGTCTATAACTAAGCCCTCACCCAGGTACGCCATTAACTCGTTGAATCCGCCGCCACCTCTTGATGAAGATCCACTCTCAGATTCTTCTTAACCTTGAATCGTCGTCGTCGTCGTCTTCTTCTTCTTCTTCTTAGACAACCTGAAAATATTCAAGAATGAATACGGATTGTCGTCTCGTTGTTGCGGTTGTTCAACACGACGTGTGTTTCTAAACCTACTTTCATAAGAGATATATAGAGAATATATTCTTTCCTTTATAATAGGAAATTGGTTAGTAATGTCGATAGCTAAAAATTCACCTAAGTTATCTAATCCACTTTCTAAACCTTCTAATTTTAATCTAGGGTAAAAAAATAACACCGAAACCATACAACATAGGTAATTTAGACCAATATTTTTTAAACTTCTTTTCCATAGAGGCAATAGGAACTCCTAAAATCTCGTGTGTCCTAAATTCACTAAATAAAATAGACATTCTTAAAAGTTCTCCTAACGCTAATGGTGACGTTGGGTAATAAGTTCTACTAAACTTTAAGGTAATTTCGTGAAATCTACCTAAAAAGTTATACAAGAGTTCGGCAATTTGCCAATCGTTTCATCTATAAATCCTGCTCCTAATTTTGCACTAACATAATTTGTTATAGCATCTTTATACGGGATGCATTGTTCAAGCATTATATAAGTAGAGTTCCATCTTATGGGCATATTTAAGGCTAATGCTCTAGGATTTTGATTACATGCTTGTAGAAATCTAAACCAATCTTGTATTCTTTGATTACTACCTTGAATCTAAGCAATGTTATCTCTAATTCTTTTAATATGACCTGATATTGATTTTAAACCAGATTTTACTATTAAATTAATTATATGATATGCACAACGTTGGTGAAATATATCATTATTACCGAATAAACTTAAATCATTTTCAAAAAGTTCTATTGCTTTAGTATTTGCAGTTGCATTATCTAATGTTATGGCCATTATTCTATCTCTTAAACTATATTCATCAATAACAGATAAAATTGTGTTATATATTAAATTGGCAGTATGTGATCGAAAAACACATTTGAAACCTAAGATTCTCTTATCCAAATCAAAACCTTTATAATAATGTCCGGTTACAGCTAAATAATCCTTGTTGGCAACGGCGAACCAAATATCTGCCGTTAACGTAACACAACCGCTAGTAGAGTGTAGAAGGTTGATTAATGCTTCCTTTTCTTGTTTATATAATTTTAATATATCTTTCCTAAGAATAGTTCTAGAAAAAAAATTGTGCATTAGGATTTTTTACAATTTTAATATAACGCTGCCAATTTCTTTGTTCAGTAAAACTTAGTGGTTGATCTAATGTGGCTATTAATTGTGCCATTTCCACACGATCAACTTGCAGATTATATTTCCACGTGCTTAGACCGCCGGTTTGGCGGACAAACGGTAATTGCGTTTGGCGGAGATCAGCTCCGCCTCCTTACTTTTGAAGACACTTTTCAGAGTGTCTTCTTAAGTGTGTAGTGCCGTGAATAGTGTTACTTTGTAATTTCTCACCACAATATTTACATTGAGTTATGTATTTAATGTTACCGTTATTGTCGACCTCCTCGAATGTGTTGAAGTGCTCCCAAACTGCTGAGGTGTGCTTGCATTTCTTCTTAGAACTTGCAACACTTGCACTAGCACTACCGCTTGCCTCTCCTCTACGGCCACTAATGCCACCCCCATTACGTGCTCGACCTCTAGTACGTCCACCAGGGGTCGAATTTGCAGTTTCCTCAGCAACTCTTTCCGTAGTTTGCGATTCCTACGTTTGAAAAACATTAGAAAATTGCCCTTCTTTGATGTTGAATTGGGCATAATGGGAATATCACCACCATAACTAGAAGAAGCCATTATGAAAAATAAGAGAGATTGAGAGCGCTTTGAGACAGATTAAGAGAGATCGAGAGAGATTTAAGCGAGATTAAGAGAGATTTGAGAGAGATTTGATAGAGATTAA